AATTTAAGGGGTGATTGTCTACTGACTATTCAACTTACAGACATTAACTTAATCCCCCTGTTTGCAGAAAGGGAGCCCCAACCTGTCTTATCCCACCCTACTCCTCCCAGATCCTGTCTTACCTTCTCCAAGGAACAAAGCTCCAGGCCTGGGGGAAGGGCAGGCAGCAGCTTGGGATGTGGATGTTTGTTTGTTTGTTTGAAGCGAGGTCTTCCTGGGAGGACTGGAAAACCTGCTAGATAAATTCTAAAAGAGCTGTAATGCTTGGATGTTTGTTTCTTAAACATACTTTCAACTGACCTTCTGGTTCACAGCCCCGCCTCTAGCCTCAAATCTACAAGTTCCTGAGATTTAGGGGTTATGCTGGATAATTTGTGTTATTTCTTGGCTTTCTGTAATTCAGAGGGTTTTGTGGCCGAATCCATCAATACTTGGCCTTTTGCTCTCCAGTTTCCAAAATATTGTTGTTGTGATCTTCTCTTTCTTTTGTTATAGTTTATGCTTAAAACAAAAATAATGACCAACAGCCACCCCCTTCCAAAAAAAGAAAAAAAAAAGCCCAAACCACCCCCCTTAACATTTTAGTATGGTTTCAAGGAGGGAGTAGAGATTAAATACTTGTGTTCAATCTGCCACCTTTATTAGGAATTTAGTGCTTTATTTAAAGTAGTGCGATGTTTTCCTTAAGTTCATTTCAAACAGTTTTTAGCTTATCTTTCTACTAGATTGTAGGTCTCTTCTGGACAGAGACAGTGGTCTTCAGTGTTGAACTCTGCAGGCTCCTAGAGCCATTGGCAAACTAGACTTACCTTTGGCCCAGGGTGGGATGGTTTCAGGGCAGATCTGACTAGTATTAGGGTTTTAAGTACAGACAGCTGGGGAGGGACCCTGGCATCAGGCAAATTCTTGTTTCCTTAGGAGCCATCAACAGCAAAGCATTAATGGCTTTCCAATGAATATATTAGAATCCTCACCTTCATGACCGTATCCAAGGATAGAATTAGAAATATTTACCAGTGGCTACGGTGTGGGCAGGACCAGTGCTGGAGCACCTGTGTGCTGTGCTGATGCCGAACAGCTAATGCTGAACAGCTGAATAGTCGCCCAGGCTTGTGGAGGGGTCCAGAATGCCCCCAGCTCTCTCCAGTCCCTGCTTTTGTGACCTTGCCCTAATTTCCAGATTGGAGCTTTATTGAAATGGGTTTGTGCTCCTCTCCTTCCTTCCCAAATTCCCTTCTCAAAGCTTATACCAAGTGTCCCTGTGCATAGTGGCCATTTAGGGGCTGTGGATATAGAGGATATGGTCCTCACCTTGGGGGAGAAGTCCGACCCCAAAAAGAGTGAGCAATGGAATGCAGGAGGCAATGTGGGGTAGAGATCAAAATCAGGCTTGTCCAGAGGATATTTCTGTGTTGGCAGTCTTCTCCAAGGCCACCAGAGTCCCGTGCATTTTCCCCTGTCTATTCGGCCAAGCCAACATCCTCTCCATTATTTTTCTTTCCTTGTCCCCCTTCTCCTAACCTCTTCTTGCTTCATAAAGCCTCCATGAGGCTTCTATGGGAAGGATGAGCGAAGAGCCAGGAGGAGAGACAGTAGGGGTAGGAAGGGCCAGGTCCCGCCTCTGCCCAGTGCATGTCCATCTGGAAGGAAGGGAGGCCTGAATCTGGCAGAAGGTGTGGGAGCAATCGGATTCCATCACAGAAACAGCTAAGCAGGCAAGGACAGATTTCTTTCCTGTCCTCCCAATTCATATGTCTCATTTATGAATACGATATATTGATGAATATGAATGATCAGTAAGGTAACAGGTAAAAATTGATGAATATGAATATGATATACATATCAAGATGAATAAATATGTATATAAGACTAATTTACATTTTTTAGTTAAAAATCAGAAAAAAGTTTTTGGTAGGGGAAGACAGGACATAGGATTAGAGAAAATTGGGAAAGCTACTACTACATAATATTTAAAATGGTTCTAATGTGTTAAAAGGTCTTTGGTACACTGCTTTAGAAGCTTCACCTTGGTTTCAGACTTTCTGCCCTCTTGACATTCCCGGGGTGGGCACCTGGTGCCGATTTATTATTAAGCATTCCAAATCCTGGGTTATTGGGAGCTGTAGGTTTGAGGGTTTCCACTGGTTCTTCTTTTGTACCTTTCTTTTCCATGTCTTGTTAAACAGTAATAGTTAGAGAAACATTTGAATGTCTCTTCATTTGCCAAAAATGGTTGTTTATAAGGTTATTCTCTTTATGTCCATCATAGTAATGGTTTCTAGTGCAGCAAAGTGAGAACGTGTTTACTCTGTTTATATTACTCCTTAGATGACGTGATCACTATCTTGTTCAGTCTGCATTTTTAGTAAATCCCAAACTCAGCTCATCTACTAAGAAAGTTAGTCTGGCAGTAAAGCTGGTGAGAAAACAAACAAAAACAACAGCAACAACAAAATAGAAAGTAATTCAGGTCCAGTTATTGAGTACCTCTGAACGTCAGGCATCGTGTTAGATCCTGGACTGACAAGGATAAATAAGACACTATCCCTGCCCGTAAACTTACAATCTAGTGGGAGGCAACAGAATAAATCGGGGAAAATAGTCAGCGGTAGTTGACTAGTTAAATGTTAACGAAAGGAAAGCAAAAGGCAAGTCTCTAGGGTCACTTCCAGGTATTGGCGACCAGTTTCCTCTGAAGCTCTCCCTTCCCGGGCTTCTGTGCTTATTTACCGTACTGATCATTCAATCCTCCCCTCTGTTGCTGGATCCACTTTAAAGGCACAATCCTTAAATGCCGGTGTCCTCAGGGCCCCCTCCTCAGCTGTCTGCTCTATTCTCTGTCTCCTCACAGGGCAAGGATTTCCAAAGCGCTGTCTCAGCTCAGCCCTCTCTTCTAAGCAGCACACTCATGTTTCCCAACATCCATTCTGTGGCTCCACCTGCCACAGGCCCCGAATACTCAGTGTGCCAAAACCCCTAGCCTCAAGGCTTGCATGTCTTCCTGCTGCCCTGTCTCACGCTGCCTGGGACCCCTCTATGGAAGCAAATAGAAATGGAAATACAATGCCAGCCACGTATGTAACTTAAACTATTTTTTTTTTTTTTTTTTGAGACAGAGTCTCACTGTGTTGCCCAGGCTAGAGTGC